AATGACCAACGGTTAGAACAAATGTAAATCACTGGATGACAAGAACCCAAGCTCACGTCAAGCTTCTATGCACACTTTCTCATCGGGTGTAGAAGCGGAGGCGCAATTGGTGCTGGTCAACGGCGGAGCGGATGCGGCCGACTCGACGCCTGGCCTTGCTGATGGCCATCCTGACTAAAGGCTCATGCTCTTGATCGCGTGGAGGTCGTCGAGGGCTTCATCGATCCGGTGCTCGCGGTGGTGGCGTGTCACCCGCGGGGGCCGTCGGCGGCGCGTCTTTCGCTGCCTGCGTTGGCTGCCACCGCCGCGCTTGCCTCTCCGCTGTCGACGCTGCCGTGTTTGCTGCTGCTGCCGTGGTCGCTGCTGCTGCTGCTGCTGTTGGCTTGGAGGCTGATGCTGGGCCTGGGAGTACGGCTGCAGCTTGTCGTAGAGAGCGTACGGTAGGGCTGTGATGTAGCCCTCCGCCGTCTCCCAGTCGGGCGCGTCTGCAATCTTCGCCGCCAGCGACGCTGCCAGCCTCTCCACGACGTCGCCAGCCTCCTCGGACTCCTCGTCCGTCAAGTGCCGTAGGCGGAGGCGCGGTCGGCGGTGCGGCACCGCATCGGGGCCGATGCACATTGCAGCGTATACTTCGCCATCGTCGATGTCGCCTTGAACGCTGTGGTCGTCATCATGAGACGGAGCGGCTGTAGTTGCAGGAGGCCGGGCTGGGGGCAAGGGCGCTGCAGGAGCAGTAGGCGCTGCGGTCGCCACAGAGGTGTTGGTGCAGCCCCTGCCATCGGGGTGCACACTGCACTCGAGCTTGGTGCGGCGTCGGTCGAGGCCGGCGTTGGCGAGGCGGTCGGCGTGGCCGTTCGCCTGCCGGTCGATGTGGTGGAGCGAGAAGCTCCCCACGCGCGCGAGCTCGAGCTTGACCTTGTTGCGCAGCGCTCGAAGCCGCGTGCCTCTAGTCGCGAAGATGCCCCGCACTTGCTGGATGACCAGCGTGCTGTCGCCCTCGATGCGCAGCTTCGTGACGCCGTGGTCGGCGGCAGCCCTGGCCCCGAGCAGCAACGCAGTGTATTCTGCAGTGTTGTTCGTTGCCGTGGTGCTCGGGTCGTAGTGAGAACAAGTCCACACTACGGGGCCGCTGGGCTTGAAGAGAGCTGCGCCGGCGCCGCCTGGGCCTGGGTTTGCACGGCAAGCACCGTCGAAGCGCAAGAGCCACTCGCCGTCGGCGTCGTCGATGGTCTCCTCGTCGACCTGCCCTGGCGCTTCGTCGTGCGGCTCGCTCTCCTTGGTCTCCTCGTTTGTCCCAGTTGGCGCCCAGTCCATCGTGTCGCTGTCCTTGGCCTCGTCCTCGCATGCAGGCGCGTCTGGTAGCGCGGGTAGCAGGCGGGCGGCGATGCGTGACACGACCAGGCTTCGTGGCAGCAGTGGGTCCCAGCGGGGGGCAGGCGTGGCGGCGAGCCTCGTCGCAATGCGGCCCGCGATGGTGGTGCGCGGCAGCGGGGGACCCCAGCGTGGGGGTGGCACCTGAGCGAGGCGCCCGGCGATCCGAGACGCGACCAGCACGCGCGGAAGTGGAGTGCCCCAGCGGCTCTCGGTGGCCTCGGTATCTGTTGCCTGCACGTCAACATCGGTGGAGCTCACCAGCGGGGGGGACGCCGTGAGCTCCGTGGCGTTGTGGTGGGGCAGGTCGGGCTCAACGGGAGCCGCGGCTGAGACGGTGGAGTCGGCTCCGTCGGCAGTGGGGCTTGATGTTCCTGCTGCCGACGAAGCCTCCGCCGATGGTGCGCTCGAGAGGCTGGCGCACGCTTGCGCGTGTCTTACTGCAGCCAGCTTTGAGGCGAATGGCACGCCACACGCGCAACCCGCCGAGAATCGGTCGAGGAATGCGGTGCGGCGGTGCCGAGAGTTCCTGTGCGTTTTCAGTGATGCGAAGCTGCCGGCCGTGTACGCGCACAGCGTGCAGTCGAACCGCGACGCGTTGTGCGTGTACACGGCGAGGACGGAGGCCGGTTGAGCGCTGGCCGCGGATAGCCTGAGCGCTGGGGCATGGATGCCAGCCTCCTCCTCTTCTTGCAGCTGGCGAGCTTCTTCCTCATCATCTGCGTCGAGTCGGCGGCGCTTGCTGCCTACGTGCAGCGCACGCGGTCGCTGGGGCGGCTGTTGCAACGCTGGAGGGCAATCAGTGCCGGAGTCAACGTCCATGGGGGCGGCGACGTCGTTGCTGTTCAAGGAGCTTGGGGCTGCAACGTCGTCACCGCTCCCGTCGTCGGCTGTCAAAGTGCTGCGGTCGCAGCTGCTGCACTCGTCGACCTGCATGGGCTCCACGAGCACGCGAGCCATCGGTAGATGTTCTTGGTTCGGTTCAGCGTGCGCGTGGTGCTCCACGGCGACGCGAGCAGCAGCGCGAGCAGTTGTAGCAGTAGCAGCTACCGGAGCTGGAGTAGCTGCGGTAGCCGCTGCTAGGCTTGAGTCAACCAACCCCGGGTCGGGCAGCATGCCGCCCGCCCTGCCGGGTGGTGCCACGACTGTGTGGACTTCAACATGGTCTGGGGCAGCGGCGCAAAGGTTCTGGCCGGCGGGGCCAGCATGGGAGGCGGGGCTTGGGTCCTGGGGTGCCGATGGGGGCGGCGGAGCGCGAGCCAGACCGGCTGCCAGCGCTGCTGGGTCGGCGAGCATGCTGCCTGCCCTGCCGGGTGGGGCAAGCACACTCGCGACGTCATCTGGGGGTTCTGGGGCGGCGGCGTGGGGGTCTTGAGCATCCTCGTCGTCGCTGCTGTCGCCGTCGAGCTCCAAGGGCCAATGGCGGACCGCCAAGGCCCGAGCTGTGGCGGCTGTGAGCGCGGCACCCGGCGATACCGAGTCGGGCAGCCTGCCGGCCGCCCTGCCGGGTGGTGCCACATCGTAGGGGGGGTCTTGGGGGCTGGCGACGGCCGTCGCCGCGAGCCCTGCGTCTGCGAAAGTTAGCGGGCGCGCTTGGAGGCTCGGCGGCGGCGTGTGGGCCGCGCCAGAGCGCGAAGTCGGCGGCGCCTGGGAAGGCAGCCGCGAGGCCGAGCTGCGTACGGGCTCAGAGGCCAGCGACCGGGGCATACTTAGACCAAGTATAGCCCCGCGTACAGGCTGAGAGGCCAGGGATTCGGCTGTACTTGGTCCCAGTATGGGGCCGCGTACAGGCTGAGAGGCCAGGGATCGAA